TTCAAATGACAATTTTATTGGATTAACATTGTTGTTTCGAGCTCGATCAAACAGTTATAATGCAATAATGACATTAAACCGTTATAATGCAGTACCAAAAATTAAATAAACATTCTAGAACTCTCCTTATCAAAAGATTTTTTTCATGTTGACATTTCATTTTTGTAACATTTTTTGCAAAACAACAACCATCCACGGTCGCAGTTTTTTGTTATACAATTTGCAAAGTTATATTTTTTCTTATGGAACACCCGGTATTTTATTTCATTTTTGGATTCTTCGGCCCAAAAAAGGCATTTATTATAAGGGTTTAATATGTTTAAAATCTTTAGTTTTTGAGATATTTAAAGATATTTAAATTTGCATGGTACAATAGAATAGATTATTAACACCATGTACATTACTTTTCAGAATTAGTTCTTGTGCTGAGGTTAAAGGTAGAGAAATACCCTTATAATAAATGCCTTTTTTTGGCCCCAAGAATCCAAGAATGAAAAAAAAAACCGGGTGTTCCATAAAAAAAATATAACTTTGGTATGGATCTTAGTTATGAAACTCCCTGTATATTTTAAAATAATTTTAAATTGTGCACATTACCTCCCCACATATACCCATAAAATATTTTGTTTCTACATCTTTCCGTTTTCGTATAATCAACCGAGGCGAATGAGGTGCGCCACCCTGTATAGCTGTCATGAATTCGAAAAGGCATAAACGGCTTTTCGCGAGAAATTTGTTGTTTTTTGAGTTACAAAAGTAGACTTTCTTTAATGAGTAGGTATCCTGATTTTTCAAGCGGTGTTCTATATTATTAAGGACTAAAAACAAATTAAGACATTCTGAAATTGTTGAATATTATGATGATCTGATAAAGTATTCCAGTGAGATTAATTATGAAGAAAATACTTCTGAGATAGACAAGATACTTCTGTGACAATCACAGATATTGTGTGATTGTCACATATGTGATTCACAGATATTTCTGTGACAATCCAAATATTATTCTTACTTAAATCAAAGAAAATCTTTGATTTTTCTCGGTCGTTAGTTTTGAGAAACTTTGAGTATCTTAGGATCGTCGTTGGTCGTTGGAGCATTTCCATTCCAGGAGTTCCTCTTTAAGTTGGTTTCCACTTGCAAAGCAGAATGGTTAGGTAGTTTTGGAAATATGAATTTTCTTCTTCTTGAGGTGCTACGTCGCGTCGTACGAACAAGGAAGTAGAAATATAATATATTTCTACTTATATTATAAAACCCTTAAGAAAAAAAATTGAATATTTTGCACATGTTATAAGAGGCCCTAAATACAAATTACTGCAGGATATTATGAAGCGAAAAATCCAAGGAGGACGTAGTCGGGACAGAGAAGAACATCTTGGCTGTGAAGAACCTCCCAGAGTGGTATGGAGTGACATCAAATGGATTATTTAGAGCAGCCGCAAATAAAATAAAAATAGCCATGATGCCAAACTCCGTTAGGAGACGGTACTTGGAGAAGAAGATACTAACTAAAATAACTGATTAGTTTTAAATGAGATCTCACAACTTTTTGTGGGATCTGGAATGGAAGAACTGCATTGTGAGATTTGGTATTTTTTACATTATATATTTTTGTCAGGATATATTATTACACAAATATTTTTCAGAAAAACGTAAGTTCTGAAGACAATCTCAATCAGAAACTCCAAGTAAGGACCAAAAATATTAAGTAGGGACTTCTACAAGGGTACCATAAGTAAGCTTTGAAAACGTCAACAAAATAGTTCATTCAACAGTCAAAATGTTATTATAAATCTCTAATATAAACATTATAATTAAATAAAAAATGTCTATACCTATGTGGCGGATTCATCTATCCAAAAAAATCCTTTATGGGTATTTCGCCACTGCATTCTGTCTCTGAAATAGACATTTTTTTGGATTATATAAATTCTCGCGAACCTACCATAAAATTTACTTTAGAAGTAGAGAGAGGTAATCGTTTGTGCTATTTCTTGATGTTTTAGTGTCAAAGTTTCAAAATAAACTAATTTTAGAGTTTACAGAAAACCCACAAACACAGATAGATACTTAGATTTCACATCTAATCACAGTATAAGTGTAAAAAAAGGTGTTATAAAAAGTTTATATGATAGGGCAAAAATAATATGTACAGACGACATTTCACTAAACAGAGATATAAACCACATAAAAAATACATTAATAAAAAACGACTATCCACCATATTTTATTGACAAAACATTA